TATGGTTGGATCTCGACACCTTGGTCGAGTGGAAGCGAAACGCTGAATGGTGTAGGGAGAAAGGATGGTTTGTAGGTGCGTTTTGATGTACAGTATGCAGCAGATAGAGCAACAGCTTGCAACGGACTGGTAATCCTAATTGGATTTTTTTTCTTCTATGCCTTTTTTTGTTTTCTTTTGATCTGATGTTGAGAATGAGATTGTAACATCCAAGTGTAATGGTTGGTGGTACGTATGGATTGATGGATGCCAAGACCTCTTGTCAGAAACGTTGCGGGAAAGCTGGGCTCCAATCCAAGGATTTTGGCAGTGTTACCCGCAGCTCTTCCCGGAACTTTGCCGAGCTCTTTTTTGCTCAGCATTCCAGGTTCTTGACAAACTACAAACCCATTTTCACCCCTCTAATTGCGCCGTCACGGCCACTCCATCCCCCTCATGTTGCGGACATCGCTACAATCAGTGAGGGCGCTGGGCAGCAGGCCTGCAGCAGCCGTTGTTGGCCGCCAATGGCAGGTTGCTGCCCCCCGTCGTGCAATTGTTTCAGGGCAGGTATGAGGTCATCTTGGGAATTCACTTATTCACTTGCTCGTGTTACTTACATGATTGTATTTTAGAGATTCTATTCCGATGACAAGAAGCCCGCAGAACCCGCAGTTCTTCCCGCCTCCGAGACTTTAACAGCCTCTTCTACCCCTCCACCTGCTTCTCCCCAGACTGTTCCAACATCGACCGTTTCTTCCGCACAAATTCCCCCGACACCCCCTCCTCCTCCTCCTCCTCCGGTTCAACCCGTTCAGCCTCTCAAGAAGAAGAGGGGATTCTTCGCCAGATTGCGCAGACTCATTTTGACTCTCACCCTTCTCGGCGCTATCGGTTTCGGTGGTGGTGTCTACTACTCGCGCATCAACGACAACTTCCACGACTTTTTCACCGAATACATCCCATACGGCGAGCAGGCTGTTCTATACTTTGAGGAGCTCGACTTTAAGAAGCGGTTCCCCAATGTCGCGAACAAGGTGACGGGCAGGACCCCGGTGGTTAGCGAGCAGGTTAACGTCCCCGCCCAGAGCGGTGCCTCATGGCGGGTTGCTGATAGTGGTGAGCCCGCTGGCCGTCAGTCAAGTGCCGTCCAAAAGGTCGCCGCTGCCAAGGAGCACGCAAAGGAGACTGTCAAGGAGGCTGTCAAGGAGGTGCAGGAGGCCGTCAAGGCTGCTGAGCCCACGCCCGCTGTCGAGAAGAAGGCCAAGAAGGCCAAGAAGGAAACAGCAGCTCTCCCCAAGGTTGAGGCCAAGGATGCCGTCGTTGCCAAACCGGTCCCGGCTGCTGTCGCCGAAAAGGTTGACGCTGTGGTCGCTACCAAGACGGCCGCTGCGCCGGAGCAGAAGCCCTGGAAGGCACCCGAGGTTGACGAGCCATCCTCGTGGCCCCCTGCTTCTCCCATCGATCACCTCTCCGTTCCCCACGCCACCGAGCCTGTGGTCCAGAACCTTGTCCGCATGTTGAACGACATCATTGCTGTCATCAACCACGATGGCGCGAATGAGAAGTACGCTACCACAATCGGCAAGGCCAAGAATGAAGTGGCCAAGGTCGGCCAGCAGATTATCGACATCAAGAAGAACGTGGAAAAGAAGGCCGCCAAGGAAATGAAGAAACGCGTTGATGTTTTTGAGAAGAAGGCCAATCAACTCGTTACTCTTCTCGAAAAGGCTATGGCTAACCAGGAGGAACAATGGCGACGCGAGTTCGAGTCCGAGATGGAGCGGTTGAAGCACAGCTACGATGAGAAGGTCAAACTCATCCAAGAGCGTGAGCGCCAACTGGCCGAGCGCAAGATTGACAACAAGCTCCTCGAGCAGGCTGTTGAGCTGCAGCGCCAGTTCTCTCAGGACATCAAGAAGCAAGTTGAGCAGGAGCGTGATGGTCGTCTTGGCCGTCTCGCTGAGCTCTCCACTGCCGTTGCGGAGCTCGAGAAGCTGACAACGGGCTGGAATGATGTCGTAGACACCAACCTTCGCACTCAACAGCTCCACGTGGCTGTTGAGGCAGTCCGTGCCAGCCTCGAGAATGCTCACCACCCCCGTCCATTCATCAAGGAGCTTGTTGCTCTCAAGGAAATTGCTGCCGATGACGCGGTCGTTGATGCTGCCATTTCTTCCATTCATCCATCTGCCTATCAACGCGGCATCTCTACTTCTGCCGAGCTGATTGATAGATTCCGTCGTGTTGCCAGCGAGGTGCGCAAGGCTTCCCTCCTCCCTGAGGATGCCGGTGTTGCCAGCCACGCCTCCAGTTATCTTTTGAGCAAGGTCATGTTCCAGAAGAAGGGCCTTGCGGCTGGTGATGATGTTGAGAGCATTTTGGCAAGAACTCAGACCTTCCTTGAGGAGGGCGATCTTGACAATGCGGCGAGAGAGATGAACGGATTGAATGGATGGGCCAAGACGTTGAGCAGAGATTGGTTGGGTGAGGTTAGAAAGGTGTTGGAAGTGCAACAAGCTCTCGAGGTATGTTCCTTTTTTTTCCCGGCAGGGTATATTATTTACTGACAATTTTATCAGGTCATCCAAACCGAGGCCAGACTTCAGAGTTTAAGGGTTGAGTAGAGAAAAAAGAAGTGTAATTGCATTGAACGTCATTAAAAACACATTTTTATTTTTCTTCCTTTGTTCTTTGTACATTGAACTCTTTTAGACTTTGGCTTTTTAGTATTTGGCCGTTTGGTGAAAAAGAAGACGGCGATGGAGTTTTTTAGTCAAGGAGGTTGTATTAAGTAGTCAAAGTCAATAGACATGGTTAGCGGTGTTGTTGTGTATTAGTTTCTGTCTTGTGGTGTATGGATAGACTACGAAGTACGTTCCGTAGGTTTGGGTGGTATTGAAACTGGTCCGAATTTGGTGTCCCGCATTGAATGACATTTTCGACTCGAGATTTTCATCCTTTCACTCAAATTTTATTTTCCTCTCTGATGCCAGTAAAATCGGGCATGAACCTCTGTCGTCTGTAACTGAAGTCTACAGTTACTCCGGACCGGAGCCGAATTCCCGCAAAACATTGGATTCGGCGAATTCTGCGGAGTCACATCCCGCTTCGGTGTTCACTCAACTTTATTTTTTATGCTTTAGTTTTCTCATGAATCTGCGTCTTAGAAATGCGATCCATTTACACCAGAATTACTCCCACTCCCACGAATTTACGATCTCTCACCATTTCTGGATTTCTTGTCCGCCCGTCAACCTCAACCTCAATCTCACTTCAACATCGCCGGCACTATACCACCACTAAAATGTCTACTCCATACGACCAAGCACTCTCCCGCCTTTCTTCTCTTCAGTCAAATTCCTTAATAACCTCCCTCTTCGACTCTTTACCCTCTGATTCCCAAAAAGATATTAATTCCCTCGCAATCCCAGAAATGAAAGCTTGGATGTCCCGTGCCGGCGTTACCCCCGAATTAATCTCCCAATCAGGACTGAAATGCGTTCATGTAGCAGGAACAAAAGGAAAAGGATCGGTTTCTGCATATATCGCTTCTATTATTCAACAGTATTTTCCTGAGGAGAAAGTGGGGTTGTATACTTCTCCTCATTTGGTTTCTGTGCGGGAAAGAATCATGCTTGGTGGGAAGGAGGTTGATAGGGAAGTATTTGCGAGATATGTTGAGTTGGTTTGGAAGGAATTGACCGAGACTGCAAAGAAATTAGATGGGGGGAGGTTGACAGAGGAAGAGTGTGAGGGACCGGGGACGAAGCCTTTTTATTTTAGGTATTTGACTATTGTTGCGATGAAAATGTTTCTGGGGGAAGGGGTGAAGAATGCGGTTATTGAATGTGGGATTGGAGGGGAGTATGATTCTACGAATGTTTTGGAGGAGGGAAGTGTGACTGCTGCTGTTGTTACGCAGTTGGGGATTGATCATGTGGGGATGTTGGGTGATACGGTTGAAAAGATTGCGTGGCATAAGAGTGGGATTTTCAAGAGGGGGATTAAGGGGTTTACGTTGAGGGAAGGGAAGGAGGAAGGGGTTAGGAGGGTTTTGAGGAGCAGGGCGGAGGAAAGAGGGTTGGAAGAGTTGGTGGAGGTTGAGGTTGAGGAGGGGTGGGAGGGGGTTGAGGGTGGAAAGATGGAGGGGGGACCGTTTGTGAAGGGGAATATGACGCTGGCTGTTTATGCGGCTAGGGAACATTTGAGGAAGTGTGGGGTTGAGTTTGAGGGGAAGTTTGGGAGAGAGGGGGAATGGGGGATGGGGGATTTGCCGGAGGAGTTTTTGAGGGGGTTGAGGGAGGCTAGGTTGAGGGGAAGGTCTGAGGTTGTGAGGGATAGAGAGGTTGAGGGGCTGGAATGGTGTGTGGATGGAGCTCATACGGAGGATAGTTTAGCTGGGGTTGGGGAGTGGTTTGCTGGAAGGGTAAAGGAGGAAGAAGGGTTGAGGGTTTTGGTGTTTAATCAGCAGGATAGGGATCCGAGTCTTTTGTTAAAGGCTTTGTTGGGTGGTGTGAGAAAGGTGTTTGGAGAGGGAAAGAGGGTTTTTACACATGCTGTTTTTACGAGGAATGAGGAGAAGCCTGCTGTTGAAGGGGAGAAGAGGAATTTGACGGTTCAGAGGAAAGCTGAGGAGACGATGAAGGAGTTTGATAGTGAGACGGAGACCAAGGTGTATAGTGATGTTGGGTCTGCTGTTGAACAGGTGAGGTTATTGGCTGCGGAGGCAAAGAAGGAGGGAAAGAGTTGCAAGGTTTTGGCAACGGGGAGCTTTCATCTTCTTGGAGCTGTTCTTATAGAGATTGATAACGTCGCGTATTAGACCGGGGAAAACCTAGTATCAACTACTAAATCAATCATTATCATTTACTCTGGAGACCTTTTTTTACGGACAAAAAAGATTTATTTCTCCTGGCTTCAGAATATCAAGTCTTACTTTCATCTTCACGTCAGATGGAGCATCTATAGAAAAGACTTTGTTAATATTCCATTGTCAGTACGCAATTACCTCGTGTACAGGCAAGATGGCCGAGCGGTCTAAGGCGCTGTGTTCAGGAATTTAACAGATTCCCGAATTTCGCAGTCCGAAAGGGCGTGGGTTCGAATCCCACTCTTGTCAAGCGTAAATCTTTTGCCATTTTCTCCATTTGTCTCTTTTTTGGGGGTATGAAAACTGCTTGGTGGAGACAATCATAACTTTGGTAGCGACATTGTCGTCACCAGAGACACCAACAAATCTGTCGTGGTACCTTTTTACAACAGGTTACCATTCCGAAATCGCAGTTCGCCAACTGCCGCCCTCCCTCATCGATAAGGTGTATGCAATACCACCGACTTGTGAGACGGGATTTAAATTGCTTTCCCGTCATCATGCGCGTGGACCGCGAAAAAAGAATAATATTTCATTGGGTATCTATGAATACAATTACCAGGCTTTGACTGTTGAAATCAGCCCATTATGTCCTCATGATCCTAGCTTATCCAGATACTCGGGCGCCCGAGTCCAACGTTGCGGCAAATATGTGAGATTTCAATATTACTACTCAATACGGGAATACTAAAAAGAAGAAAAAAACTCTTTCTTCTCACCTGACAGAAAAAAGCCATGCCCATCAAACTTCATCAGGCCGTGATGAATGATGATAATTCCCCCTCGCTGCGGATACCGCCGGAAATGCGCTCCGAATTTGATTGGTGCGGGTAAAATGATGGTTAAAGTCTGTTGCAGGGTGACAGGAGTCTTCGTGGGGTGTGAGTGAGTGGGTGGATGGTGGATGGTGGGGTTCTTTCTTTTTCTCAAGCTCTACCAAACAAGCAGAGCTACCTACTCCAAGTCTCCAACAAAAAAAATAACCATGGCGTAATGGGGTTCTCTGATGACCGATGGGGGATGGAAGAATGCATTGGGTAGGGAACTCCCCGCATCTGTGTTGAATTCATCCAAGGTCTGAGAATCCATCCACAGCAGGGAAAAAAAAAGGGGATGTCTCCGACAATGATATCCAAGGTCTGACTTTGAGGAGGTTCTGGTATATATTCCAAGTCTTTTCCTCCTCTTCCTCCCTCTTTGTCTTTTCTCTTTCCTTCTCTTCAACGAGTTCTTCTTCTTTCCCCCTCGTCTGTACCACCTGAACCTTTCCTCTTCGTTCACTTAATTATAACCCAACAACCTTCACAATGTCTTCCGTATGTCTTGCTTTCCACAGAACTCCCTTCAGACAAACGCAACTAACAGAAACTTCCAGAACCTCTCTTTCGTCCTCAACAAACCCAACGATGTCTCCTTCGAGGAGCGCCCAATCCCCAAGCTTCAGTCTCCTCACGATGTCCTCGTAGCCGTCAACTACACCGGCATCTGCGGTTCTGATGTCCACTACTGGGTCCACGGCGCTATTGGCCACTTCGTCGTCAAGGACCCCATGGTCCTCGGTCACGAGTCCGCCGGCACCGTCGTCGAGGTCGGCTCTGGAGTCAAGACTCTCAAGAAGGGTGATCGTATCGCCCTTGAGCCCGGTTATCCCTGCCGCCGCTGCGGTGACTGCCTTTCTGGCAAGTACAACCTTTGCCACGAGATGGTTTTCGCCGCCACTCCCCCATACGACGGAACCCTCACCGGCTTTTGGGTAGCTCCGTTCGACTTCTGCTATAAGCTACCCGACAATGTCTCACTTCAAGAGGGTGCCCTCATTGAGCCTCTCGCCGTCGCTGTCCACATCACCAAGCAGGCCTGCATCCAGCCAGGCAACAGCGTTGTCGTTATGGGTGCCGGTCCCGTCGGTCTTCTCTGCGCTGCCGTCGCCAAGGCCTTTGGCGCCACCAAGGTCGTCTCCGTCGACATTGTCCAGTCCAAGCTGGACTTTGCAAAGTCTTATACGGCAACTCACACCTACCTCTCTCAGCGCGTGTCCCCCGAGGAGAACGCCAAGAACCTCATCGCCGCTGCCGACCTTGGAAAGGGTGCTGATGTTGTTATCGACGCCTCCGGTGCTGAGCCTTCCATCCAGGCTTCTCTTCATGTCGTTCGCATGGGCGGTACTTACGTCCAGGGCGGTATGGGCAAGTCAGACATTAACTTCCCCATTATGGCTTTATGCTTGAAGGAGGTTACTGCCCGTGGATCTTTCCGTTATGGCAGCGGTGATTATAAGCTTGCTATCGAGCTTGTCGCTGCCGGAAAGGTGGATGTCAAAGCGTTGGTTAATGGTGTTGTGGCTTTCAAGGATGCTGAGGAGGCATTCAAGAAGGTTAAGGAGGGTGAGGTGATTAAGATTTTGATTGCTGGACCTAATGAGAAGGTTGAGGGTGCTCTTGATACTCATGTTGATGAGGCCAAGTTGAAGGAGGCTCTCAAGAAGGAGGATGCTGGATGCTGCTGAGCGGTCGGGGAAGGAAAAAGGAAATGAAAATATTGCATAGTAACGGAGTTTTTTGGGATTTAGCATTTGTTTTTGGGGTCTTTCAATTTGGCGAGGGAATTTGGGATAGTAGAAATATAATAAGTTTTGATACCAACAAAATATTTGAACTCGTGGTCTGATTGTTTCATCGGTTATTTGTGTTGAACACGATGTGCATTTAGCCTGCTGAGCCTCAGGTGATGTCTCTTTATGTTGTAACAGAAGAATCTCACCAAATAGACGGCGATAAACGTCATCCTTCCACTTATACTAACGGATTATTCGTCGGTCCTCTTGATAGTCCTCTCTTGACCCCTTGAAACGGAAACGGGTTTTCCTCAACACAAAGATTTGTGTAAACATTTACACAAGTCCATCATGGCCAAATCAATTCATAAACAGCAGACCTTTATAACTAAGGACTCTATCAATTCCATCGCACCATTTTATTTCTACTTTACAAAAGAAAAGACAACATCCAATCTAAAGAAACCCATCTAAACCATCCCCAAGTACCTCGTCTCAAACTTGGTCTCCTTCTTAGCCCCCTTAACCCCAATCTTGACAACCTCTCCAGGAACAATATCAACCAAATTATCCTCAAACTTAATCTCCTCCTCATCACACTCGACCACAACCCCCTTAACCGGTACTTCCGCACTAATCTCCACCCATTTCCCATCCTCACTCAACAAAGCCTTCAACTCCTTTGGCTTGCTCAAATGCAAATACTTCAACGGTTCCGGCCAATTAACATACCTCGTAACCTGTTCCCCAGTCTCTGAATCAATCAAATAAGCCGCCACAACAACCTTTCCTTCCCCTCCATTTTCCTTGACAGGAACATCCATCACAGTCACCTCCGTACTTCTATTCTCCTTCAACACCAAACCCTCCACAGCCTTTTTCTCACTCACAACCTCCCCAGTCTCAACATCCCATCCTTTAACAACCACATCAACTTTTTTCTCCTCCAAAGTCAAATTACTTCCCCAGACCTCAATTTCCGTCTTGACCTCAATATCAACCCTAGTATACTTGTTTCTCGGATGTTTATGAACAACCCTTTTAATCCCACAACTCAACCCAGCCATCTCCCTCTTGATAGTAAAATAAGCCATCTTTGGTCTCAAATAATAATCCACCACAGACCAACTAGTCACCGGCCAACAATCATTCATCTGCCATACCAATGCCCCTCCACAATACTCCCTCCCCGGCCCTTTCCACTGTCTTTTCCACAACCGATAAGCAGAAGCCAAACACTCAGCCTGCATCAACTGAGTACAATAAACAAACTGTTCCAACGGATCCGGCGCATACCTCATATTCTCAACCAAATACAACGCAATCCTCCTCTCATGTCCATCAGCTTTATTATGAAAATCAACTGTGTCAGACTGAGGATACCTATCCGGATCATTTTTTCCTTCAGGCAAATAAGACTCAATGGTCTTGACATGCGGAAAAGCCTGCATTCCAAACTCCGAAACAAACCTTCCACCCAAAGCATCAAAATTTTGATACTTTTCCTGAGTCCCATGCCATACATTCCACTGATGTATATCCCCAACCGTAGCATCATGAGTATCCCTTCCAGCTCCCCACGGACTACCAAAATGATAATAAGTCCCGGGGATCAACTGGTCGCAAACATCCCTCAAAATCTTTTCGTAAATATACCTAGCAGGAAAATCCGTTTCCAACCACGACTCCTCATCTTTATTCTCATAATCATATTCCAACCCCGCAGATTCCTGGTATTGATAATCCTCATTATTCCCCGCCCAAATAACAATACTCGGATGATGTCTTAGTCGTTTCACATTCTCCTCTGCTTCTTTTTTGATCGACTCTCTCATCTCAGGCCAAGCAGGATAATTCCCACAACCAAACATGAAATCTTGCCAGACCAAAACCCCCAATTCGTCACAAGCTTCGTAAAATGCTGACTCTTCATATATCCCTCCTCCCCAAACCCTAATCATGAATTGGTTTCCTTCCGCGACGAGTTTAATCCAATCATAGTATTTTTGTGTCGAAATCCGAGGAATAAAATTATCCGCCGGGATCCAATCTGATCCACCACAATAAACAGGTATATTATTGATTTGAAAGAAAAAAGAAGTTCCAGGTTGATCGAGAAGGGGACGTTGAACAAGTTCTGCTCGACGAAGACCAATTTTCTTGCTGACCGAGTCGATTTCTTTTTCTTCCTCAACAAAAAGTTTCGTGGTCAATGTATAAAGTGGTTGTTTTCCATAACGGATTGGATACCAAAGTGCCGGGGAGTCAAGATGAAACTTCGTGGAAACAGTTGCCGAATCAACAGAGACAGTTTTCGAAGCAACTTGTTTCCCATCCAAAGCCAACTCAAACCTCACTTTCGTTTCCCCCGCCCCCGGATTCTCAACCTCAACGCTCGCTTTAACATCCGCCGTCTTCAAATCCTCCGCCACAACAGCTTCAAACCAAAGATCCTCGATTCTCGTAGAGTAGATTTCCAGTGTGATCGGTCTCCAAGGCCCACAAGTCAACAAAACCGGTCCCCAATCCCATCCCCAATGATACTGAGCTTTTCTAACCGCCAACCTCGAATTATCTCCATTCCAACAACCCCATTTATGTTCCGGATACTTTTCCACCAGTTCCCAACCTCTTAGATATGCACTATCAAATACAATTTCCAACTCATTCTCTCCTTCCCTGAGTAGAGAAGTAA